GATAGATGACATTTTTGACAAGTCCGCTATCAGCACCCGGGTTTACTTGATAATACGGAGTTTGGTCTGTGGTGATTACTGATATTCGACGCTGTTCGGCATGGGGTGGCTTCTTGCATCGCTGTTGGTTCCTTTTGCTGGTTCATTTCAGCTAAATTGTACACCCTTGTGAAGCTGCGAAGCGATACAGGGCCTTTTCGGTTACAGGAGATGACAAAGTCTTCACAAAGTAACCTGCAAAAAGCTCTGGCACGCTGTACATCTGGTGCCTCACCAACACCGAACTGTCCCCTTGTGTGTTCTGTAGTGATCCAGTTTTATTAAAAAATGCTCGGTGTTGGAGTGGGACTCGTAGTTTGTTCATTAAAGTTGCGAAAGGTAGAGGTCCCTATAGATTACCGGGGCATATCTAGGTCCGTTGTTCGGCCTCATTCCTACGAAGGAGTATCATTGACTAGTATTACTCGGTGATATATTTGATTCTTTGATATTTAGCAACCTGTCAATAACAACAATTACTCAGCAACACGGCGGCGCTCAGACTTCACGTCAACGAGCGTCATTGCAAAGCCTGAACTGTGATTTATTGTTGCCTAATTCTAATCAAAAACATGATTAATTAATGGATTTATGGGTGGTGCCGAAAGCGTGGGTGCAGTTCAGGAGATCCGAGTCGCGACATATAGTGCGATGGCAAAATTTGTTCGACTCGGGGTTTCGCTAAGCGATTTTTCGACTTTGTAGTTAGCGGTGGAGTTTACAAGTGAATAGGTATCGATCAAGGCGCGGCGTACGTTGGGAACCCCAGTGAGGGGGCAGGGGGCGCACTTGCCTTTGAGAAAATTTTTTGGTTGTTGACTTTTTTCGGTTATTCCTGTTTCACGAGCGTATTGGTGCATTACTCCCCCTTCCCCCTAGAAAATCTTTACAAAAAAAACTGAGAAAAAAAGGGATAAGAAGTTGGGAGAATTCAGGAAGATGCTAGTAGAAGCTGGGATGAGAAAGGAGGGGGAGGTAGCCATAGGAGGAAGTTTTGTGTGGGGGAGGTCGTATTTTCAAAATTTCCAGTGCCGTGGTCAGTACCACGAGAGCATATTGAGATATTGAACGGAATAATGGATAAAGCGCTCCACTGCTAATGACAGAATCGCCTGAGTCTCACAGCTGAATCGCCGCTCTCGCGAACTATAAACGTTGCTTGGTCTCGGCAATAGAAATGGTAATTTTATGAATAAAAACAATACTAGCAGTACTAGTACACTTTGGACTGTTATGACAGAAGCGTGCCATAGGAAGTAGTTGCTTCTGTGGTTGTGTTCTGTTTCCTTGGCTTTCGTTTTCAGGAGTGCTTTTAGTATGCTTTTAGTTTTTTCGTGGCTTTGGCCTTAGTTTCTGCACGCCAAAAGTAAGAGTTAGCTTTCTTCTCAAACTTGTGTCAAAGAGTATGTCTCAGGTGTGAACGGAACCAGGACGAGAACTTCCTGAATCGAGTTGGAAACGCACTTGGAATTAAAGAGCAGGATCGACCAGCGACCGTAGGAGGAGTGAGTTTACGTCTGAACTCATTGGAGGATGGGACTCTTCGATAGAAAATTGAAAAACTGCTTGAAAAAATCTATCTGCTCAAGAAAATTACATCACATCTGTCACTTCTGTCACCGATTCTCGTTCTCGCTCAAATTTCTCTCTTCAGGGAAAGTCTGAGGAAATAGCATTTGACTTTGGCTGAGCACGCTACTGAGAATCTCATTTAAAGGCATTTGGCACGATGATTTTGTGCTCGGCCTAAAATGCTAGTAGGGAGCTATATAGTGGGGAAATGGCGAAAGAACGGAGTGAAACGGTCAAAATCCTGCGAAAGAGCCTCCGTTCTCAATGTGTTAGAAATCGATTTTGGACGAGTTTCCCGTAGGCATCTTGCCAATAACCGCTACCGAAGATACGGCTGCATATGTGTACTCATATATCCTTCATGCCAATCCCTTCGCTTCATAATTTGCTTAGCAAATGAATCGATTAGAGCGTCAGGAACGGTCGTCCATTTGTGGGCGGGCGGGCGTGGCGGGCGTTTGGGTCGGAATGTTGTGGCTTGATAGGGCCCTTATAAGGGCACCTCCGCTTATGCAGCGCCTGCTCAGGGTCGCGGAATTCCGTCCTGCCAGGCGTATTAATCCTACTCGTCTTGGAGGGATTTATCGTGCCAACTGCCTTTAAGTAGAACGCTTGCCTTATTCGCAGAGGATTCCTGCTGGGTGAATATGTTGCGCAGAAACCGCTAGTACATTCCAGCCCCTTCCCTCCCCCACAGCTAATAATAGGACATATTTCATAGAAGTCCGGTTTTGTTGGCAGCGTATCGTGAGGAGCAAGTTTATGGGTTTTCATGAAGCTATGAAGGATGATCTACTTCTAGGGCACTCCGGGGCACCTTGGATGATCTACTTTCAGCCTGCTGAAAAAACTTTTTGCAAGGCCTGCTGATTTAGCAACACTCCCATCTATGATCAAAGTGCTACACTGTAACAGCCTGTCAGCTACGTGGCGGTAAACCGAGAGATCGCTGAGATGGAATTTCGTTACGGTTCGGTCAAGAAATTGTGACATAACTACGAACTGACGTACATGTGTGTAGTACCATTTTTGACTCGCGAGTAAGGATTTGTGTGGTTGTACAAGAGTGAACAATTCAGAAGTGTTCTAGCGGAAGTCTACCCGCTTCTGTCTTAGTCCTTAGTGACCCCATCAGTTTATTGAGGCTGACAACGAACTCATGTGTAAAAATAGTTAGGCGAAGTTAGGCGTACATTACAGCACAGAACCGGTAACAAAGCAAACAAATCTATTCGGCGGTATGACGATGACGAGGAGCTCCTTCGAAGAGTAGCGCACAGAAAAAACGGTGAGTGAAATTGGTGAGGCTGGGAGGAGACTTTCAGACAAACAAAAAAGGAAACGAAAGCATCAGGCCTCGGCTTCATATAGGCGGTCTACGGACAACTTGAGCTCAATCCCTTTGAACACGTCGAACTTCTCGTTCGAGCCGCTGCACTCTCTCGTCCGCATGGCACTCTATGGCCGTTGTGACTTCGCTCACTCCAGTTTTTCACCGACTGTAAGTAGCTCACCCACCCCGGAGTCCCCTCCCCTTGAAAAATCCCGTTTCCTGGCTCGCCATACGTTTTTTGCACGTTTCGATGCTTGACCGCCCGTTTGCCGTTTCCATTAACAAAAAAAAAATTAAAAAAATAAATTAAAAAATTCCGGTGCCTGCGTCACAAGGGCTTCGTAGCCGGCTCTCTGCTTGCAGCAGCCCCGATTAAGAGTGCTCCTGCACCACTGATTCGCCCTCTCACGCTCTAGTGAATTCGCGTGAGTGGGAGCGAATGGCGATTGGTGTCATCAGAAACAGTGCGGTCATGGGGTCTGTGAAAACCTCACGACTGTTTTCCGTGCTTGTGGATTCTGGGCTCGTTGCTTGCTGTCCGAGCGTAATTCCTTAGCTTTCCACAACAGATATGGATTTTAAAACAACTGATAGTGCCAAAAGATGTCGTAGTGATCGTACGGGCCCCTAGACACCGAATGGGGTAACCCGTTGAAGTGGTGGGGCGTCGCTTCTCACACTCGATACCATTAACTTTTCATGGAGTCAGATGACGCGGGTATGTTGCTCGCGTCTATTCCAGAGGCAATATTTCCCTCCATATTGTCTCGCACGGCGCTACACCCATTGCGAGACAGATATCTCGGCCTCTGAGGCTTTCGAATCACGTTCGTACTACATTCACTATGTTCTTCTTATCTGAGAATGTCTTTGCGCAGTTATAAGAGGAGTTGTTTTTGTCCTGAGGGTTGGCATGGTTATTGCTGTCGGTAGATAAAAACAGTTTGACGGACCGGAAATTGCTGCGGATGAGGCCAGTCCGCCAGTTACATTGGCAGTGGTCAAATGAGGCAGCTCGACGACGTAGGGTCGCCTTCAAATTAAAGAGCAAGCTGTTAGGATTGTAGATTTGTTCCCTAACTGCGGCCTGTATCTTCCTTATGTCTGTCTCCAATCAATCGACGGCACTAAAGTGAGTGCACTTGCCCCACAAATAAGGATTTGTATGATTGTAAAAGATAAACAAGCTCAGAATTAGTCGCAGCGGTAGTTGCCCGGTTGCTCTCCCCTTGGTGCTTTAATCGTCTCGCGTGATCAGTCTTGATTTGTGTGGGAAGAGGTAGCGGCAGCGGGTTGGTGGTTACGGCAGAGGGTTGGGCGCAGTTCGGCACGGTGGGGGAGCCGGCATTTTGGCAACTTGCACGTGCAAGGTACTTGCACGCGTGCGCCGTCTCAACTGCAGACTGATGCCGGTCTCACTCTGGTGGAACCTGTGAACTCTTGTGAAGCTAGAGCAAACTCGTCAGGCCATCATGGTAAAACATTTCAACTCGAGAAGATGCTGTGTTGGGTCAACACGTTGACGTGAAGTAGCAAAAGTACAAAATGCCCCCTCTCGTCACCGAACTGCCTCGAGGATTTATTTGAGTCTTCAGGCACGGATTCTGGGGCGAAGCCCTTGGATCTACTAATGTCCCCCTGAGCGCCTGCAGCAGGTGTTAGCGTTTCTAGTAGAGTGTCACAGTGATTCTGCTCGGTTTCTTTCACTACTGCTATGTAGAGGTGGATCCATAAAGGGCTGTCGCTCGTTCTTCTGAATGGTTTTGCTTATTCCCGTCAGGAACTGGTTAGACAAATGCCTTCATGGGAGGTTATTAAAAACCAAATAGTTGTTCGTATTAGCCCCTACAGAACTTGTTGCCCGCGCCCCCGAATTGTTCTATAAGTGGCTGCCATTGATTGTCACGAATTACTCCACTGGAGTGTAGTGACACCGAAAATCGATCATGTATTCCTTTCGGCTTCTTCATGGTTTGTTTTTGTTTTCCTTCACGAGAATGGATTAAATGGACGATGTGATTTGGGGAAAGCCAATTATTTCTATGATTTTACAGAAATGTCTCGAAGTGGTCGAGCTAATTCGGTGTCGGCGCCCTTGTCGCCGGACCTTATCGCATTTCTTCGTGAGTCCATGGAAAAGGACCTCTTGTATGATCCACCCTATGTATTCGTGATATTCGGTGCATCTGTGAGTATTGTAATCTCATGTTTTGATTGATGCGAAAATTGTGAATATTTGGGCGTAGGCGGGGGAAGGGAGAGCACTCAACCGCATCCTGTGTACCCTTTTCCCAAAGGGCTCAGAGTGCAGGCGACAGGTATCTCCGAGGGGTAGTCTCTGTAAGAATCTCCATTAAGGTCAAGCTTTGGTTAGGGAAAGGAGTCATCAGCCATGAGCTTGACGTGCACTGGAGACAGGGTACAGCATCGTGATGTGTGAATTGGTGGTGTCAGTGCGACATCCCCTATCCCTCCCTCCCCAACACCTACCTACCAATTCCCACACCAGTTTTTCACGACCTGAAAATTTCCGTCAGTGGTAGAGGTAGTTTCCTAACGTTGCCTTAATTCCTCTCTACCAGCCACAATACGATACCCCCTGTCCAAACAACAACCAAATAACAATCACCCTTTCCTCCCAGCAGAAAAGTACAACGCCGCCATGGTGTTTCACACAACGATGCTGTACCTGAGCAGAATCCCTGTTTGGCCTCGAAATGTTTTTTGACAGTTTTTCCTGTTTTGCACACGTTATCCACATCGTTGGGATGAGGGCACGTCCTGCCGTTGGGAAAATTCCCGCAAAATACGACCCTCCTCAAAATTTTCCCCCTTGTATGACCCCCCCCCTGCGTCCGCCATTTCAATCCTTTCTGAATTTCGTTCCCCTAAAATTTTCCGAGTTGTAACTCAGTTTTTCGGAGTTCGTGTTTCAAAAAGTTCCTCCTTTTCCCAAAAAGAAACTGCCGTTGGGGCGGGGGGGGGACGGGTGGAACGTGAGACGTCCTTGCGGTTATGTTTTCTATGGGTGTAAATTCTATCTTTTAGGGTGATCTCGCTAAGAAGAAAATTTATCCGACGCTGTGGTGGCTATATCGCGATTCTCTCCTGCCGTTGAACATAACCATTGTCGGCTATGCTCGTTCGGATCTGACTATGGAGAAGCTGAGGGAATCGTTTGAGAAAGCTTGCAAGGTAAGTGGAGAAGGCGAACTGGTCGGCTAGCTAGCGTCATCATGGCATCAAGCGAGTTTATACTTCAATTGGGCGTTCATGGTCAGTCGCGCGATTCACAAATCCTGCAGTTGCGACCGACCGCGCTCCATCGCTAATCGTTGGACCGATGCCGCGTCAGGAGACTAGAGCTGGAGACAGTTGGGCGAAGGGGGCATTTTGTACTTCTGCCACTTCCTGTAACGTGTCAAGTCGTCTAGAGATATATCTCAGCTTACATGACAGACTGTGGGGCACAACCGGTCGCTGTCGCGCCGCCCTCCAGTCGCGCGATTGAGCAGCTCGTCTCGCGAAGTATGAACGGGGTCTCATAGGTCATGACATCTTCAAAACTACAGTAAGCCATATTCGGTTTTTCAGGTACACGACAATGAAAAGAAGAAGTTCGAGGAATTTATGAGCAAATGTGCATATATGAAGGTGTGGTGCAGGTTATTTTCACGTTCAAGTGGCAATATTATGTTGGGTTGTTGATGGGTTATCTCTTGTCTTTTCCAGGGCAAGTACGATGAGCCAGAAGGATTCGAGAAACTGGCCAGTTTTGTTGATGAAATTCAAAAGAAGAGTAATGATCGTGAGTTTTTTCTTTACGTGCTGTGGAGCGTGTGAAAAAGTTTGTTCATATCTCTGCCCATGTGGGTAGAGCCTACGCAGTGCTTTCATAAAAGCTGGTAGGCCTAGTCCCGCCCATACAATCATGGGGTGTGCTTTTAATGCCATTGTACTCTGCGAGAGACCACTGCTTACTCACTCTTGACTCCCATACAGTTCAAGGGGATGTAACTAATGGCTGGGCGGCGGATAGGGGGAGGGGGGTGCAAAAAGCTGGATAACCTCTTTGTTCGTGGCATTTATGGAATAGTTACCTCTGCTTTTCAGAACCGGTCAATCGACTGTACTATCCTTGCGTTGCCACCAACTGTTTTCGAGGTCGTGACGTCCGAACTGAACCAACATTGCATGGATCATGGGTGCGTCTCCTTTATCCTTTTTGCTCTAGGGTAGCGCAGTGAAGCAGGAGAAGACAGTGACTATCGTAATTGCCAATTTTTGTCCCTTTTCATGTTTGCATTGGGTCAAGTAAGCTTGGATGTATCGTCTGGTGTTCAGGGACTCGCTGTGACGAGAGATTATATAGAGAAGCGCATTTGGACATGATTAGAGTCGCTCCAGCTAAAGCTTTCTAGTCATCTGTCCAAAATGTTCCATGAGGTGCGTTTGAGGCTTATTTCACGCCTAGTCCAAGCTCGGCGCCATAGTTGCGCTAACAATAGCAACGAGGTAAGCATTTTCCAGATATTATGGGCATACTACCTGTTTCAGGATCAACTTTACCGGATAGACCATTATCTTGGCAAAGAGATGGTGCAGAACTTGATGGTACTAAGGTAAGTAATGTTCCTCTCGTAGGTATTAGGTTGTCCGGAAAGTTCTCAGCGTTTTGGGTGTTTCACTTTAAACGATCGTAACTTTTTTAATACTCATCGGATTTAATCGAAATAGGCACCATTCGAATCAGCACACTTTTGCCAATGTGATAGCAGTCGAGAAATCCATCAAAGTAAAAAACTGGGTGGTCGAAAATCCACGAAATCCACGAAGGCTTTTTTGCCTGGTCCTGATTGATGAAGTATTTTCCAGCAAGGGAGTTCTGAAAATGTTTGAAAAGGTGATAGTCGGTTGGTGAAAGGTCTGGAGAATATGGTGGGTGTGGTAGAACTTCAACCCCCAATTCGTTCAATTTATGGATAGTGATTTGTGAAACGTGTGGGCGGGCGTTGTCATGCAGAAGAATCGGACCCTTTCTATTGACAAGTGCTGGCTGCAGCTGACGCAATTTTCGGTACATTTCGTCGATTTCTTCACAGTAGGACTCTGCTGTGATGGTTTGGCCTGGTGACAAGAAATTGTAGTGGATCACACCAGCTGACGACCACCATACTGTGACCATTACCTTTTTTTCGTGAAGATTCGGCTTTGGAAAATGCTTGGGTGGCTCGTCGGCATCCAACCACTGCCCAGAACGTCTCCTGTTATCATACGTGATCCATTTCTCATCACAGGTGACAATTCGGTCCAAAAACGGGTCGTTCTGTTACGCAAAAGCAGTGCAGAAGAAAACCTCGAGACGTGCCAATTTCTGCCGGTCACTCAAATTGTGGGGCACCCACTTATCGAGTTTTTTCACCTTCCCAATGCGTTTCAAACCATCTGCAACAGTGGATTTGCCAAGTCCTAGCTTTTCTGCAACCCCTCGAACTGTTTGGGATGGGTCAGCCTCTACGACTGCCTTCAAATCCTCGTCAGGTATGGCCCTAGGTCGACCGCCACGAGGTTCATCTTCAAGGCTGAAATCTCCAGAACGAAATTTGTCGAACCATTGTCGCACGGTGCTTTCTCCAGTAGTATTGGGCCCCCACACCTGGTTAATTTGTCGAGCTGTCTCGACTGCGGATTGACCCAATTTATAGTTGAAGAAGAAAATCGTTCGAAGTTGCTCTTTTGACATGCTTGAAAAAGTCTTTGGAAAAGGGGGTTTATCAAGCAGTGGTGAAACGGCAATTATACCATCAGATAGCGCAAGAAATTCTCTACAGGATGTGCTACTGAGAAGCAAGGCAGAATGAGTTTTTAATCAGCAGTGAATGTACAAAAAATAGGTGCACAAAACGCTGAGAACTTTCCGGACAACCTAATATATAGTATTACTCTGACTCCTAATTGCACGCTTACTATGAGGATCTCCAACCGAGAGGGTCGACCCTATTCGGTCGCTGAAAAGAGGGACGGGGGTCGTGTCTGTTTTTGAAGAATTTCATTGTTTTTCTCAGCGTTTCCGTTCTGTGTATGCTCATTCCCTGGCAGCTCGACCGGTATTTTTGGCGGAAAACTGGAGACTTTTGTAGAAGACGATATCCCCTAGTTTAGTGATAGGGAGTTAAAGATTTCAGGAAGATGGTTAGTGAGAATAGATGTGGAAATCCGAGGGGTCTATTTTGTAGCACAGTCCTCAGCAGAAGGACGTACTTCATGTGTATTCGGCCGCCCGGGGCTCTTACCCAGCTTGCCCATTCTCAAGAATTCCCTAAAAATTACTGAGTTTTGGGCTCAAGAATAAGTTGCCTGCTGGTTGTCTTGTCTTTCTCCTTTTTTTCCACTGAAAGCACCCAAAAAACGGGTGATTGCAGTACATTTTGGCCATAGCGAGGTAGGCAGAGACTCGAAACCATTATGCTATCCTCATTGCTTGCTACTTTTACTAATGCAACAATGAGAGAGCGAACTAATGAGGAAGGCGGAATGGTTGTATGTCTCCGCCTGTTCCCCCGTCTATCTGGCTGTCATGGAATGCACCTCAGGGAAAAGTGCTCACCATAGGCGGGGCTCATATCGCTATCTGTGAAAGTAGGCGTGTTCGATGCATACCTCGGCGTGCTTCCTGTTTTGCAAAATCGGATGCTATGCATACCTTGGCGGCATGGGTGGCCCTCCCCCTCCACTTTGATACTTGCTAGTTTCTCGATGATTAGTACTGTTAAGGTTCGGCAATCGCTTCCTTGGCCCGTCATGGAATCGCGACAACATTGCCTCCGTCACAATCTCATTCAAGGAGAATTTTGGTACCGGTGGACGAGCAGGCTATTTCGATAAGGCTGGTATAATAAGGTGAGTGGTATTTTCAATTCGAAAATAACTGTTTGCCTTGTTCCCAGAAGCCCACAATGATCGCATGGGCGGGGTCGGGCCTACCAATGTGCTCTTCCGATTTGGGTCACTCGACAAGCACCTCTTTTTCATCATGTAAGAGAGGAGAAACGCACTGATGAAGCAGGCGCTGTGAAAGGTTTGACTCCGTCCAAGCAATCAGCGTGGACTGTGCCATCAACCAACTACAACATTTTGGAAATACGATCATCTCCTTCTTTTAGGGACGTAATGCAGAATCATTTGATGCAAATGTTGACGTTGGTAGCTATGGAGAAACCTGCCAGTTTGAATGCTGAAGATATCCGAGACGAGAAGGTAAGGTAGCCCCAGCTCGTGGAGGCAGAGCCCGCGATAAGCCAACGCGCAGAAACCCTTCTTGGACCAGGTGACGCAGCCCGCGATCGCAGAGGATGTTGCGCTTTCGCGGGTCGACGTCGGTGGATAAGGGCGGCGAGGTTTTGTCACGCTTCATGGTCTCCGCCCCTACATTTGTGATTTTCGCCATTATCACATCGTTCCAAGATCGCCGTTCCACTATCATTTGTATATATATGAAGGACGAGTAATTCCGAAGAGTTTCTAGGTTGAAGAGTGTGAAGCCAGTCAAACCAGTGCACCTAAAGGATATGGTTCTAGGGCAGTATGTGGCGAACTCGGAGTGCGCTCGTTAGTAGTCGATTTCTTATTATTTGTATGTATTTTGCTGTTTCGATAGGGCGTCAAACAGCTCTTTTTGGAGTACGCCGTGCGCTCGATTTTTCTAAAATCGTGGCAGTGTTTGTATGAACAGTAGAGGAAAGGAAACTTGAAATTAGACAAATTCGGGCTTTGTTTTGTCAGACTCCTCCGTCCGTGAAAATGCATCTGCTCAGATCAAGAATCCCTGAAAAAGCTCCAGAAAATGGAGTAAGTTTTGGAAGTTTTTTTCGGGTTGGATTTGGAAGAATATTGCGATACGGTAGGCCGCCACGCTTCAAAAGTGGACATATTTGAAGGCACTTAAGACGATAATTTGGTACTCGGCCCAAAATGCTGG